TCTATAGAGTCTAAGCTGGCCCTGAACTGAACCTCCCGCCCTCGCCTCTCACATGCTAGGATTACAGGCGTGTACCGCCATTCTGGCTAGACTATACACTTTATATTTGGATATCTTTGGCTTTTTTGAGACAGTCTTTCATGTAGACTAGGCTAGCCAGAAACTCACTCTGTAGCCGAGGTTAGCTTTAAACCTTTGATCCTCCTGCCTCTACCTACCGAGTACTAAACATTTCTGATCATGCCAGCACTAGACTGCACACTTTATTGTTTTGTTTTTCAAGAAAGGGTTTCCTTGTGTAGCCCTGGCTGTCCTGGAACTCATGCTGTAGACCAGGCTGGCCTTGAACTCAGAGATCCTCCTGTCTCTGCCTCCCAAGTGCTGGAATTAAAGGTGTGCACCATCACCGCCAACTTGTTCTGGGAGTGGGGTGAGTCTGTGTGCATGTGGACGTCAGATCAATACCAGATTCTCTTCTCCAGTACTCTCTCATTATTTTAAACATTTATATTTATTTGTTTTTATTTTGCGTGTATGGGTGTTTTCCTGAATATATCTGGTCACTATGTGTGTGCAGTGCCTACAGAGGCCAGACGGGGGCACCAGATCCCTTGGAATCGGATTTACAGACAGTTGTGAGTCGTCCCGTGGGTGCAGGGAATTGAACCCTGGGTTCTGTGGAAGAGCGAGCAGCCAGTGTGCTCTTAACTACTAAGCTGTCTATCCAGCCCCTCCTCCTTACTGTTTAGGGCAAATCTCTCACGGAATCTAAATCTCACCTATTGGCTACACTGAATAGCTAACAAACTCCCAGGATCCTCTTGCCTCCACCTTCCAGCTCTGGGATTTCATGAATGCACATCAAGCCTGTCTTTTTCTGCGGGGATTCAGACTCTGGGACAGGTCTTAGGTTTCTGTTGCTGTAATAGGACACCAGCGCCATAAGGAGCTTGAGGTTTGCTGCTTCTTACAGCTCACAGTCTGTATCCAGAGAGGTCAGGGCAGGCGCTGCTGCAGAGGCCACGGGAGGGTGCTGCTCACTGGCTCTCCATGACTTGCTCAGCCTCCTCTCTCACAGCCCCCCAAGGCCACCTTCCTAGGGGTGACACCACCACAGCGGGCTGGGCCCTCCCCCATCAATCACCAATTAAGAAAATGCACTGCATTTTGCCTACAGGCCAATCTCACAGAGGCGTTTTCTCAGCCGAGGTTCCCTCTTCCCAAATGACTCCAGCCTGTGTCACGCTGACGTGACCGTAGCCAACACTGGGTGTAACTCAGTGGTTAAAGTGCTTGCCTAACACGCACAAAGAACTGGATTCAGTCTCCAGCACTGAAAAACAGCACACAAACTGGGACGTGTGTGTGTGTGTGTGTGTGTGTGTGTGCGCGCGTGTTTTGTTTTGTTTATGTTTATGTTTCCCCTTTGGCTCCTGACTTAAGTACTAACTAAAAATTTCCAGCCTGATCCGAGGGACTGAGGGAAATTTTCCCATTTCTAAGCACAGATAAGCTGGGGAAACAGAAGCAGTGATACCGGCCTGGCCTGAGGAGTGGGCAAGGAGTTGGGGGTGGCAGCGGTGTGCAACTAAGACAGTAGGAGGAGTGGGGTCCTAGAATACAGGGAGAGATGGGCACACAGGAGAGGCCTGAAGGACCACTGCTGGCCCTGCTGGCCTGAGTGAGGCTCTACGCTGCCCCTGATGTGTGCACCGTTATGGGTCATATGCTCCTCCATTAATAACATGTCCAGGTCCAAATCCTCAACCCTGTGGCTGGAACGTTATTTGGAAACAGGGTCTTCTCATTTGTAATCAGGTTTGAGTGTGAGCATGCTGGAGTAGGGTGGGCCCTAACCCATTTTCTTGAATCTTTATATAAAGAGGAATTTATTTATTTATTTATTTATTTATGTGCTTATTTACTTATTTATCTTTAAATCTATGTTAGCTAGGCAGTGGTGCACACCCCTTTAATCCCAGCACTCAGGAGGCAGATCAGGAAGTAGGCTGATCTCTATGAGTTCAAGACCAGCCTGATCTACAGAGCGAGTTCTAGGATAGGTTTCCAAGCTACACAGAGAAACCCTGTCTCGAAAAACAAAAGAAAAAAATCGTTAATATTTATTTTATGTGTCTGAGTGTTTGCCTGCACGTCTTTGTGTGCATCACATGCACTGACTGTCCTCAAAGACCAGAAGAGGGTGCTGGATGCCCCGAACCTGGAATTACAGACGGTTGTGAGCCCAAAGAACCTGAGTCCTCAGCCAAACTAGCAAGTGATCTTAACTGATGCGCCACCTCGGCAGCCCCCAAGTGAACGTCTTTAGCCAGGTGGTGCACAAATGTAATGGCAGCCCTTGGGAGGTCATGTGACTTGGACAAGGAAGCTCATATCCCATCCTGTCCCATCCCATCCCATCATCACACCAGACATATGCTGGGGTGTCACTGACCACGGCTAGTACTGACCAGGATTGCCTGGGTAAGGTGTATTAAACTGACCCACTGAAAGTGCCTCTTTCTTTCCTTTATTTTTTTAAAGATTTATGTATTTATTTATTTATTTATTTATGATGTATACAACATTCTGCCTCCATGTATGCCCACATGCCAGAAGAGGGCGCCAGATCTCATTATAGATGGTTGTGAGCCGCCATACGGTTGCGGGGAATTGAACTCAGGACTTCTGGAAGAGCAGCCAGTGCTCTTAACCACTGAGCCATCTCTCCAGCCCCCCTTTCTTGCCTTTAGAAGCCATTGTGGTACCCAGGTAGTTGCAGCAGGCTTTCTTTTGGGCCACCAACCGGCTCCCAAAGAAAGACACAGAGACTTAATATTAGTTATGAGTCCTTGGCCTTAGCCTATGCCTGTCCCACCAGCTCTATAACTTAACCTGTTTCTCTTCATCTGTTTTGCCTCGGGCTTTTCTTTCCTTCTGGATGTCCTCCTGTGTCTGGTTGGCTGGTGGGGGCAGCTATCTGGCTGGCCCTGGCATCTCCGTCTCTTTCTCCCTCATTCTCTCCTCTCCCAAGCCTAGATCCCTCCTCCTACTTATTCTCTCTGCCCACCAGCCAACCTATCCTTCTCCTGCCTAGCTACTGACTGTTCAGCTTTTCATTAGACCAATCAGGTGCCTGAGGCAGGCAAGGTATCTTTACATAATGAAGCAAATGCAGCATAAACAAATGTAACACATCTTTACATAGTTAAATATTCCACAACAGACAGTGGTGGCACATGCCTTTAATCCCAGCATTTGGGAAGCAAAGGCAGGCAGATTTTGAAATTCAAGGCCAGCCAATTCTACATAGAGAGTTCCAGGGGGGAAAAAAAAAGGAGGAGGAAGAGGAAGAAGCCATTGTGCGTAGAGTACAGGTAAGGAGTAGGACCTCATTTTGGAGAGCCTACTAAAATTACTTGGGGTTCTTCTGAATGGGAAAGGTATCTACTAGCCCCTACTTATTCTTTTATCCGGTTACTTATTACTATCGGCACAGGCACATAAATGCTTATTTTTTGTTTAGGGTTATAACGACAATATTCTATCTTTTTTAAAATTCTTTTCTCTTTTTGCCATTAATATGGGCCCTAACTCAGGTGCTCACATTGCTCAGCATTTTACCAGCTGTCTCCCCAGCACTAGGCTCCACTCTTTTTAAGAATAATAATGATAATAAAATTACATGTAATATGTAAACAAAATAAAATATGTAATGTTATAACGTTATTATTATTTTGACAATTTGAATTCTACATATTTTAAAACTTAGCATTATTGAAGCATCATTTACAATGTCAGTTTACCCAGGCATGTAGGCATACACCTGTATTCTGGAGAAGTGGAGGCATGAGGATCAGAAGGTCAGGGCCAACATAAAAAAATTCTAGGCTAATCAAGGCTATGTAAGAAAGACCCTGCCGGCGGGCGGTGGTGACACACCAGAGGCAGAGGCAGGCAGATCTGTGAGTTTGAGACCAGCCTGGTCTACAAGAGCTAGTTCCAGGATAGGCTCCAAAGCTACAGAGAAACCTGTCTAGAAAAATAAACAAACAAACAAAAAGAAAGGCCCTGTCAGCCAGGTGGTGGTGGCGCATGGCTTTAATTCCAGCACTCAGAGGCAGAGGCAGGTGGATCTCTGTGAGTTCAGTGTCAGATTGGTCTACAGAGCTAGTTCCAGGACAGCTAAGGATAAAAAACTCTGTCTAGAAAAAACAAGTTCCCCCCCCCCCCCAAAAAAAAAACCCTGTCTCAAAAACAACACAAGAAGCCAAATGTATGGCATAAGCCTGCAATCGCTCAGAAGGCTGCGGCAGAAGGATGAAGAGTTCTAGGCCAACATGGGCTACATATAGAGACTAGGTCACAAAACAAACACAAATCCTTACAATTAGAGGCACCATTCTAAATGCATAGTTGGGCAAGTCTTAACCAGTGCCTCCTTTTAGGGAACTACAGGCACACGAGTGTGCATGAACAGAAGTAAATTCCTCAGACAAGGGATTTGTCTAGTGATGTCAGCTTCCCATTTCAGCTCTAGACAAGACCAAGTTCCCTAGCGGGGGTAAATAGGGGGCAAAAACACACACACCTGCAGTGATTTTCTCTGTATGTCAGCAGTTCGGGAACTTTGCTAACTGTACCCAGGAGGGGTGTAGAGGGCAAAGGTACGGGCGACATGGCTGTGCCTGCCCACCTCTCCCAAGGCACCGGGCTCACCAAGGTGGGGGACGGAGGATGAGATGCCCTCCCAGCCTCTTCTCCATGCATCTGCTCACATCTACCGTCCTCATCCTCTCCTTTTCACGCCCGTTTGGCAGTGCCACCGCCTCCGCCCAGGCGGAGTGGAGGGCTCAAGAGGGTCCTGTGCCCCTGGAAGGTTGGCTGGCCTCGCATCTGTTGCCCCGTGGGGGCGGGCAGAACTGCGGAGGCGTTGGAAGGGGCTGAACCTTTGGCCTTGGTCCTAGGGGGCGGTGCCGGGCGCGAACCGTCCCAGGTCCCTCCCAGGCGGGAACAGAACAGGCGGTGCCCAGGCAGCTGCGGAGCCATGGACGGCAGCGGGCCTTTCAGCTGCCCCATCTGCCTGGAACCACTCCGGGAGCCGGTGACACTTCCCTGCGGCCACAACTTCTGCCTCGCCTGCCTGGTTGCGCTCTGGCCGCACCGGAGTGCGGGCAGCACCGGTGGTTCCGGAGGTCCGGCCCGCTGCCCACTGTGCCAGGAGCCTTTCCCCGACGGCCTGCAGCTCCGCAAGAACCACACGCTGTCTGAGCTGCTACAGCTCCGCCAGGGCTCGGGCCCAGGACCCATGTCCACCCCGGCTTCAGGCCCCGCCCGGGGCGCGACGCCCGAGCCCTCCGCGCCCAGCGCACCCCCTACGGCTCCGGAGCCTTCGGCTCCCTGTG